GTTTCCCATTTTGACACTTATACTTCACAAAATAGTTAATAATAAACACCTCCGATTGAGCTTGTTCTGCAATCGCCATGACGTGGATAACATGTCATATGCTTAGCTTCTTGTTGTTTGACACATGTAATTTGTGGGTCCCAACTAGGGGTGGGCATCGATCGGTTCGGTTCGGTTGTGAATATTATCGGTTTTTCATATCGGTTATCGGTTTATAAATATACTAAACCGATAACCGAACCGATAAGATATCGGTTATTAGGTGTCGGTTAGTCGGTTATCAATCCTTATCGGTTCGGTTATCGGTTTACCCAATAAGAATAAAAACTATCCAAAAATTTATTATAGAAATCGTGACCATACTATTAAGAGAAAGGAATTGAATTTTTGCTCTTAAGAGAAGAGGGATTAAATTTCAACTTAGAAAATAAAACTTTCTTTGCATTTGAAAATCCCAATGAATGATCTCAATTTTCAAAGTTATAAGTTAATAGGAGTAAGGGATAAGACATTCAACAATCTAATCTTACTAACTATCTCACTGCGGGCGGGCGGGCGGGCGGGCATAATTCATAGGAAAATAATAAAATCCTAATCTTGTAAATACTAAAGAATCAGTGCAACAAAAGAAACAAATAGAAAAACTAAAAATCTAAACAATTAATTCTCTAAAGTTTAAAACTAAAAATCTTAATTGAAAAATTAAAATGATAATTTCAGAAAAGTTTAAAACTTACTCTAAGGATTAAGGTCAGAAGATGAAGAGTAACTACCGAGAGAATTGAGAGAATGAAGCCATAAGATGGTTTTATATACTTAGTGGATAAAATTATAATTTTGATAAAGCTTATTGGGCTATCGGTTAAACCGTTAATAAAATTGGGCAAACCGATACCCGAACCGATAACCCATTAGTCAAATAACATTAAACCGTTATCGAACTATTTACCCAATAACCCGATACCGATAACCCAATAGCATTTTATCGGTTCGGTTTATCGGTTATACCCGATATATGCCCAGCCCTAGTCCCAACCTTTTCAATTTATGAAATTCGTTTTTTCTTTTTTCTTTCTCTTTCTTCTTCATAGGTTAACACCAGTTCCACCATCACTAATATCATTCCATCGGACTAATCACCCAAAAGAAGTTCCTCCGGTGCCATATTTCTTCTCCAAAATATCAATTTTATTTTCCTTTCATTATTTTTCTTAAAACCATTTCTAAGAGACTTCCAAAATCCATCACTTTCGGATCAAATCAAACTCCACCCATTTCCCAACTACCCCAGCTTCACAAAAAAACCATCCCTTCATCGGAGAGACATTTTTCACTTGGTTGGAGCCTAATTGATTGATTCGAAGAATCAAACCCAATAAATAGGAAAATCAAATTCTTTACTACCGGTTTGACCCAATTTCTAATTTCAGAAAGCCGATTCGTTCTTCCCCGGCAACTTCTACGACGATTTGCTTCACATAAAGTTGTGAGTTATCTTCTATATCTTTTCTCCTCCTCTCTAAATTCTCATACTTAATAGAAGAAGAAAAAACCCTAAATTCGTTTTAAATCGAGAACAATAATGAAAAAAAATAAAGAGGGTAAATGGAGAGGGAATATGGGGTTTGGGACGTGAAAAATATAAGGATAAGAAACCAAAAGTAATGGGGAGGAGAAGGGGACGGAGGGGCTGGAAGAACTGAAGAAGTGTTTGGGTTTGCTTTTTCTTTTTTATTCTTCTTTTATCCTTTTATTATTAATATATTTTTTAATACATACTCACACGCCTTATAAGCGTGAGTTGCACGTACTTTGGCCATGTCAGCTGTATTGCCTCCACATAGGCATGGTCAACGGTCAAAGACACTTATTAGTAATTGTTTTGTACAGTATAAGTGTCAAAATAGGAAAATCGTAAGTTTGTTTACCGGCTTGAAAAATCAGTGCAAGTTTAAGTGGGTGGGAGGCCATTTTGCCTATATATAATACTATATCTTACTATTTAAAAGAGTATTATTGACCATAAATTAAATATAAAATATGAATAAATAATATTTTTTTAAATTTAAGCAAATACAATCCAACAAATGAATTCTCCTTCTAATAATATTTGAATACTCTACGTTTATATAATATATTTTAACTCTGTAACAAATGACATTTGGCCAAATAATTATATATTAGGTTTGATATTCTTTACGGCAAACACACGCATGAATGGAGTTCTATTACATGTTGATAACTTCCAATTCAAAACAGAATAGGTTTCAGAATAAGTAATTTCCAATATATAGAAATTACTACTTCTTTAAAAAAATTAAATATAAAAAGTATAATAATATTTTTCCTACTCCTAGAAAATTAATCTATTCACTTTGATTTTATTGTTAAAAAAATCAGGTATTATTTAAATTTACAATAATATTTTTGAGTATTACTAAAATGAAAGTGAATAGACAAATTATCTAGGAATAGGAAAAATATATAATATACTTAATACAATAATATTTTTGAGTATAACTAAAATACTCTCACATTACTTCTATAATATAAATATTTTATTTAAGATCTTATTTTGTTGCTTGTAATTTTTTAAAATTTTGATCATCAAATCTTTAATATGTTAAGTAAATTAATTTACTTTATTTTATATTTTAACTTATCCCAATATACAAAAAATATTATTTCCTTAAAAAGAATATAGATATTTAAAATTTTGAATTTGAATTTAAAATAATTAAATAACTTATTATTAACTAACCTAACCAATTTTTTCCTAAAACTACCACATGTCTTTCTCCTACACTGCCACTTGTCATAATCATAGGCTAGACTTTCTTCCTTTTAATAATATACTGATTGATTGCTCAAGTAATGGAAGATCAACGTCGTATATTTCTCTATATATTCTTGGCTAACCTCCACGCATTATTTCTTCATAAATCATTCATGGATAAGGGTAAATAGTAAGCACCAAGAAGGCTTGCTTGAACGGGAGACCTCGGTTGAGGTCCGGTCCCACTCCCCGGGTATGTGGCGTGACATAAATCCAAAAGGAATCTTATACAGAAGTATTACAGCTATTCTAGGAAAGAAAATAAAAGACAATAATGAGAATATTTACAATACAATCTTCCTACAATCAAGCTATTAATTAAAAACTGATTCTTCTCCTACAATTAAGCTGGTCAACACTTATGAAAAGAAAGAAAAACTTTAGCCTAGGCCACATGTAAATGGAAGAAATTACTTTATGTATGTACCAAGAACATATAGAGACTTTGATACCATAGGAGAAGAGAAAAGGTAGAGACACTTGTTGAAATTGGCAGGTTAGTAACATAAAGAGGACTCATTATATAGAAGTTTTTAATTGCAGAAATTAGTAAAGTGTCTTAACTCTTAGGATTCTTTATTATGCTTATTCAATAAGAATATTCTACATAATATTCAAAATTTTCTTCTTCACTAACAAAACATTAAAGTACGTTGCACACATAGACAGCTCTTAAACTTGTTCGGTTTTTTCATCTAGACACCTAAACCAAGCCCATGAGGTATTGAGCACCCAATCTCTACTCAAAATGTGCCTATCAGACATGGCGCTGAAAAAGTCAAGATGATAAAATGAATTACATGCAGGTGACATGGTGAAGAAGCCAATAAAATAAAAGAATGTGTCATTTGATTCCAAATAAACCAAAAAAAGAACTTGACTCACAAAAAATTCTATTTTTGAACCCTCTCCTCATCCTTTTGACTTCTCCCAAAAGATAACCCTCCTCATCTCTATCCACCAATTAAACCAGACGCCAACATTCAAAAGCTAGCAGCCACATCTTGATAATAATGTTAAACAAAACAGAACTTCACAGCAACTCCTTAACATCTCATTTGCAGCTTCAGATTGACCATTATCAAAAACCTTCAGAAGTGCAACTAAAGACAGTATACTATATGAACAAGTAAAAACCCAGGCATTGAAAAAGCTAAAAAGCTTCAAACCAACTGGCTTTCCCATAATATTGTATCAACCAAATAAAAAGCATTTCCCTACGTCGAATATAATGGGTTTGGATATACCCAAAAAGGTTTTCAACAGCATAAAAGTGTCAGCACACTGTGAGCTTATATATTAGACAAGAATAAGTAGGATAATCATGTTTGAACCCTATTTGCTGAAATCATGGAAGATGAGCTTCATCGGGATCTTGGACTTGTTTAAGACCGGCAAGGAGTGGCATGGCTTGCAAAGAAGGTTTCTAGTGGGCTTATAAGGTCTTCCAGGGCAGGATTTTGAGGTGGGCTCGTGAGAACGATGAGAATGGAATAATTGTGCAGGATTCTGAATTTTGAGTGTTGAGGGCATTATTGTAGATTTTTAATTAAAAAAAATATTGGGATGATCATATAATGAGAGTGAACTGGGATAGAATACTTAAAAGGAAATAGGCACCACATGTCTAATAGGCACGTTTTGCACAGATGTCGGGTGCTCAAACGTCATGGGCTTAGTTAAGTGTCTAGATAAAAAATACTGACAGGAGATTGTCTATGCATCCAGCCATAAAAAAAACTTAAATAATATTTTTGATGATTCTTTTGACTTTCGAGAAAAACTGCAACAAATGCTAAATTTTTCTTTTTGCCTCCAGATAATGAGGTTAGCTAAGTGCAAGTCAGGGTAGCATATCAATTAAGTTACATCAATACATTGTGGATTCATCGGAGAATAATTGCATTATTGCCAATGATGATAAAGCATTCGTTCTCGTCAGGAATAGAGGTCGTTAAGAGTTTAGTTGCTTGTAGTTCTCTTTTTTAAATCAAGATTGGGTTTATATTCAGTGTACTTATTTATAAATACTCTGTTTTGTTTAACCTCTTTCTAATAATTTGAAAACAATAGACATCAAAGTGTTCATCAAACCCAGAAAAGTTGTTCAGATATTCAACCAAGCTATATGAAGACAGCAGAAAAAGGAAACCAAGAGACTTACTTTCAGGAGAGAGCGCATGAATGCAGTCAAGGACTTCTGATCTGACAAGGAGTTCACTGTTTTGAACCGAGAATGACCATATTGATCAGGAGTCCATCCAGCCTCCTCTATTATGATGTCAACAAAAATTCAGATAAGAAATTTAAGATTCTTGGGAGCACAAAAATAATAGGGCCTAAGGCAGGTTATAGCAACACAGATCACGCTAATAGACAGCGGATAGACAGCGGAGCTTAGAAATTCTACACTTCCACCAGAAAAGCTATAAAAAGGAGGGACAGAGAGAAAGAACTTACTCAAGCCGGGGATATCTTCAACCTTGATGGCTTTTTTGGGAATACCAGCTTCTTTCTAAATAAATTAGTCAAAGATTAGTCAACTTCAAAATCCACATTAGTTTCTTCACAAGATCAGCATAAAATAATTGCAATAGCAGATCAATCCAATTACGAAGAAAACAATGTTTATATTTTCAATCGACAGGAATTCTAAAGTACCTCTCAAGTTAAAGAAGACATCTTATGAGATAAAACATTCTTATATCCAGAATAAATTCTCACAATTTCTCTTGACACGTTCATCAGTCCAAAAGAAGCATTTTCCATTAAAACATATCATTTCACAGACCAAAAGTCATTTCTAGAATGAAAATTACATCTTGATGACCAACACTAGAAAGTGACAGCAAAAATATTACGATTCAACACATCACGCATGAAGGTCATTCTTCTGGTTAAATGATTAGGATTAGTCAGAATTAGCAAGAATAATTCTTTCCTGTAATTAGGTAGCCAGAATATTTTCTTTCCTGTTTTAACACTTGTACATTCACTACTTAAACTCAATAGCTAGAGGGAACAATCAAGCAAAGCTTCTATCAATTCTCCCCTATGTCTTATTTGCTCACATGGTATCAAAGCAAATGCGAGAAATTTCTTCTTGTGCATCTATCAGCGAAGTCTGTATAGAAAATTTTTTGTTTGTCGTATACTGTTTTCTCAGCGATCTTGAATTTGCCTACATTTATTGGTCTTCCACTCGTACTGCGCATGAACCAGCACTGTCACTAGGACCAGATCGTCGTGCAACACTGCCCAAAAGGTCACGCCACCACCAGACTGCTCATGCGATCTTACGTGCCACCAGACAGAATGATCTCGGGTGTCGAGCACCACCATGCGCCAGCACATGGGAAGTTTTCTGACCACCTCCATTTCAGATTTTTGTTTCTCAGCATTCTCCTCACTTTTCCGACCTCACGCATCTGCAAGTTTAAAGATTCTGACCAGCAGAATAAAGATTCCAGCGAAGTTCAAAATCTTCTGAAAGAAGACTTGTTTTTTGTGAAAATCTCTGAAAGTCGATATGCTATTCCCAGGCTACCCATACCCGTTCCAGTCTCTTCTGAGTCTCCGACCACCGAAGTCCTAATTTCATAGGTTCAGTTCAGTTTCCTGGCTACCAGCACTGTTCTTGCCATATTACAGAATTGTGTCCTCCTCATCGTCCAATTGCTTACATCTCCAACTTCTTGACTTATAATTACAGTCAGGTTGAACTTTGAGTAGTTACTGACATACTGTGGGTGTGGAAATTTTGGTAACCCATTTGAAGAGAGCATTTTCGTTCCCGTCACTATGGCATTCGAACCAGCTGTCAAAAGTTTAGAAGATCGGAAAACCTTTTAAGATTGAAAATCAGTTGTTGAAGTTTAGTTTGTGAAGGTCATCCTGATTTGGAGGTTATATTATGAAGAGAAGATCCTAAAATACTATTGATAGAAGTGTACTTGAGCTTGAAAATTTTCAGATCTGAAAATTTCATCGTTTTGGAGTTCAAAATCTAATGGGTGTTATTTTATACTGGTAATATTACTGGGTTGTAGCTAAATCTAGAATTTTTGGTTCATTGGCAGCCGTTTTGTATCGGATGTATCGGAAAACGAATCTGCCGCTGTTAAAGCTCAAAGGAATGAGCTATTGGACTGCTCGTAGTTGCAGCTGAAGGTTCGAGATATGAGTTTTAAAAAAATGATTTTCTGTGAGTTTGAGCTTAACTTGTCTTGCTGAAATTGGTGGTTAAATGTGAAGAAAATTGCACTACATGGACTTGTTGGAGTTCGTATCGGATGGTTTTGTATTTTCAAAGATACAAACCATGTGTTGTTGATCTCCTGGGGGCTGGGAATTAATAGTGGAGCTTAAAAGCTTGCTGCAAATTTGATGAAGATATCCTAAAACTCCATTAAAATTTCTGCTCAATGTGGTATTTTCTGTTTCTTTTTCATTTCCTTTTGATTCCTTTAGCTAGTTAACATTATTATAAGTTCATACTGGTGTTATCTAGTTAACTTTGTGTCCATACTTGTCTTCGTGCTAATTCTTTCGTGGTTTTCTCTTTTGTTTCATTGTGTGTTTCTTTAATTCCTAGCTCGTCGGTTTTGTTGGTCCTTATTTATTTGGCCATAAACTCCATTCTGAACCGATACTTGGAACATACTTGGTGATCTCTTTGTTGTTGGTTCTACGAGATTAAAGGGAATCCCTTGAGTGGTAAAAGGCAAGAGTTGGAAAGATCATTTGAGCGTGTGCCTAAAACCAAGTGCACACAAGTGAAACATGAGTGAAACTTGAGTGCTAGGGAATAGGGATACACTTAGGGAGTGCACGGGAGAGGCCTATTTTTCCATTAACATCATTTCTTTGTTTGTAGGTATGTCTCGGCGACTTCTTTTATATTTCTGTAAGAATTTATATCCATGAGCAAGAAAATTTATATAAAGCTCATATTGCTAATTAAGGAAATAGAATAAATCAATACAATCAGTACAATTTTCAAATAAAATCAAGCTACTAAATAAAATCAAATCTTCTTAAAATCAACCTAGCTAGCCAACAAGAGTGAAGCGTTTCTCATCCTGGACGGTGACAGGCTATGATCAAAGAGATGTCTGCTCTACACGATGATGGTACTTGGGAGCTCAATCCTATACCTCCGATAAAATCAATTGTTGGTTGTCGGTGGGTTTATGCAGTCAAAATTAGTCTGAACGGTCAAATTCATTGGCTTAAGACCCCCTCCCCCCTTCTCGCCAAAGGTTACACTCAGATATTTAGGCTTGACCATGGGGATACCTTCTCTCCCGCAGCTAAAAATTAAAATATCATCTCTTTTCTATGGTAAGTTGTCTCATATTGGCTGAGGGGTGGTTGTTTGTATCATCATATAGTTTTAGGCAATCCTTGCCTCATTATATAGCTTTTGTGGTTGAATTAAGACCAAGGTCCATTTCTTTTTCTTTTTTTGATAAAGTAACAAATTTTATTAATGAATGGCAAAAAAGACTCATATAATAGTATACCAAAAGTTGAAACAGAGACAGTTTTCTACAAACGACACCCAGTCTTCAGTACACAAAAGAATATCTTCAATACACAAAAGGATCTCATGAGTGCACCAAAAAGATACAAGGGATAAGAGTACGCTACTCCTGAACTGCAAAAAATTTATTTGTACTCACTCAAAAGCTCTCTTACTTCTCTCCCTCCAAACGACCCACATAAGTGCAAAGAGGAACCATGCTCCGTGCCCTACGCCTTCTCCTTCGTCTTCACCATTCCAGCTGAACATCAACTCCTTTACAATGCTTGGCATCATCGATTCAATACCAAACCACCTTAGGATTTCCCATAATAGCCTAGTAGCTACTGACAATGTAGAAGGAGATGTCCCACATCTTCACCGAAACCCTTGCACATGTAACACCAACTGACATGTGTTATCTTTATGTTTCTCAAATTCTAAGCCGTCAAAATCACCCCTCTTGTTGCTAACCAAATGAAAAAAAACACCTTCCTTGGTACCTTAGGGATCCAAATCAAGTTATGTGGAAGGTCAATCTCTTCCCAACCAGAAGCCTCTGTCGTATAACTTAACGTCTTAACCGAAAGCATTCCATTGTTCCTCATCCCCTATTTCCACATATCGTGGATATCTAATGGAATGCTTTGTTTATATAGCAAGTCAATCATGTTTTGGAACTCCGTCACCTCCCAATCTTGTAGATTTCTTCTAAAGCTCAGATCCCATTATCCGCTTTGAGCCTTCGAATTTGATGGACTGTTATGTTCTTTTGGCTCAAAATTCCTGATAAATGGACTTTGGACCTAACTCAACCCAAAAGTGAGCTCATGAGGTGAGGATTGCCCAAGATCATAGAAGGAGCCTAGAAAATCCACATCCCACCAATATGGGAGTCAACACCCCCCACGTCTAAGCCTGCAAACTGGAGCGTGGATAACATAAATGGGAACCCAACATCAGTAACAATAAATTGGGATGGGTCTGGCTCTAATACCATGATAAATGGACCTTGGGCCTAACTCAATCCCAAAAGCTAGCTCATGAGGTGAGGATTGCCCAAGACCATATAAGGAGACAAGGAATTCCACATCCCAACAATGTGGGGCTCAACAATTCCATATAAGTTTGGGAATGTAATTCTCAAAGTATTGTCCCCGCACCACCTATGTCCCAAAAAGCTTACCCTTCTCCCATCTCCTACCCTAAAAGACACACTGCCACTAAAATCTTTCCGTCCCTTCAATATGTTTCTCCATAATCCACACCCGTAAGGCATAGTGATAACTCTAGTCCTCCAACCCCCTTCCAAAACCTAGTATTTTTCCACTATCACCTCTCTCCAAATGCGTGTTCTTCGGCCACGAATCCCCATAACCACTTTCTTAATAAAGCCTTATTGAAGACGCTCAAATCTTTAACCCCAAGACCACCGCAACACTTAGGGGTCGTAACCGTCTCCCGCTGCATCAAGTGAAGCTTCAGTGCCCCCTCTGTCGAATCCCACAAAAAGTTTCTTCTGAGTCTTTCTAACTTTGCTATAACACTGGCAAGAGCAAGAAGCAGAGGCAAGGAATAAGCAAGTGTGCCCGAAAGAGTACTCTTTATTAGCACTTCCTTTCTCCCTTTGTACAAATATCTTTTCTGTCATCCTGCTAGCCTCTTTTCAACCCTCAGTACTATTCCATGCATTGTGATCCTTATGAGAAGCTACTAGTGGCAAGTCAAGGTAAATAGTGGGAAGAGCTGACACCTTGTAGTTCAGAACCTGAGCCAACTACTCAATATCGTACACCTCCAAAACAAGTATGGTTTGGCACTTTCTGAAATTTATCTCGAGGCCAGCACAACCTAGAACCAAGTCAAATACTGACCCAGATAAACCAATTGAGATCTATCAGTATCACAAAATAACACAGGGGTATCTACAAATAATAAGTGTGAGACTCTCACGGTACCATGTCCACCAACTATTGACGTGAAACCCCTCACAAACACACCCATCACAGCTCTATCCATCATCCTACTCAACACCTTCATAACTAAGATGAGGAGCATGGAGATAATGGATCCCCATGCTCAACCCTTTCGAACTTACCAAAGAAGGCACACGAGTTGCCATTTACAAGAACCGAATACCTAACCGTGGCGATTTGAAGTTTGATCAACATTTTCCATATCTATCTGAACCTCATCCTCAGCATAATGAAATCCAAAAACTCCCGATTCACGTGAATATACACAAAATACCTGGCTCTCCTTGCTTTTTCCTAGAATCTACCACCTCATTTGTCACCAGTGTTGCATCAAGAATTTGTCTTCCTTCCACAAAATCAATTTGTGAAGTAGACAATCTCGTCAAGGACCTTCTTTAGGCTATTAGAAAGCAATTTATAAAATTATCTTATAGATATTCTCACTAGACTAAGGGTCTATAATCCTTGATACTTGTTGCTCCCTCTTTTTTTTAGGATGAACCAAACCGTGAAAATGTAGTGTTTGATCCACACCCCCAATCTATCTCCGAACCCCATCCTTAGCATGATAAAACCCAAAAACTCTCTATTCATGTGGTCAACCTTCTCAAGGTCCAATTTACACAAAATGTCTGGCTCTCCTTGCTTCTATCTAGAATCTACTACTCTTTCCGTTTCAATTTATATGACACACTTTCCTTATTAGTCTGTTTAAAAAAAATATCCCAGTTGTTCTATATTTGGAAATAATTCAACTTAAAAATTTTTATTTTATATAGGTTACCCATAATGAGAAATTTTTATAGCCACACAAATGTCATTACCCCACAAAGTTTTTGCCGTTAAGCTTTTATGAATACAAGCTTCAAAAGTCTTTTTTTTCTTAAACTCCGTAACAAATCAGTTGACAGGCCTAGACGCCGCGGGGGGTTGTTAAGTTATCCCACATTAGTTTAGGATGGATTGATTGTCTCCTTGCATGATCTTTGACAATTCTCACCGCATAAGCTAGCTTTTCGTGTTGAGTTAGGCCCAACGTCTATTTCTTATATTCTATCCACGGTTGTTGTTCGGCATGGCCTCTTTATCAATTGGACGTTAAGAATGTTTTTCTCTATGCGATATCAACGATAAGGTCTATATGGAGCAACCACTTGGATACTGAGAGGAGTCTAGTTATCTTGTTTCTTGATTGTGTTAAGTCACTCTATGGACCTAAACAATCTCCTCGAACCTGGATAGGTAAGCCCAACACAGTTATTCAGGTAGCCTGACATGTCATGAAGCTGACTATTTTCTACCAACATTTTGCTCCAAATTTGTCCATTTAATTGGTGGTGTACGTTAACGATATAGTCAACACATACAACAATTCAAGATGGCATCATTAGATTGAATCAAAATCTCTTTCAGCACTTCAAGATCAAGGATCTAAGTAGATTGAAGTATCTTCTGGACAGTGAGGTAGTTTAGTCTATAGGGATTGTCATTTCACGACGGAAGTATGCTCTCAACATTTTTTAGGAGACATGAATGACAAACTAGAGTCTTTGACACTTCTATGGACCCAAATGTTAAGCTTCTACCAAGACAAAAGGATCCCCCTAGTGATCCTACAAGATACGGGTGACCGGTTGGTAAGTTAAACAACCTCACAGTGACTCGACTTGATATTGCCTTTCCCGTGAGTGTCGTAAGTCAATTTACGAACTCTCTTGTGTTGGTCAGTGGAATTCAGTTTTCCAAACACTCTTTAATATATAAAATCAACTCCAAGAAATAGATTATTTTTCGAGGATCAAGGTCTTGAGTAGATCGTTAGATACATAGGCGCTTATTGGGCAAAATCAACTTTTGATAGACGATCAATTTTTAGATATTGTGTTCTAGATTGAGGTATTTGGTGTCTTGGAAGAGCAAAATATTGAATATGGTTGCTTGATCTAGTGTAAAAACAGAAGATCGAGTAATAACTGTGGCAACTAGACAACTAATTTGAATCAAAAAGTTGCTTAGAGAATTGACGTTAGGGGGAAGCAATCAAAAGGAACTTTGTGTGTGATGATCAACTTGAACTTCATACTACATCAATCGTTAGGCCACATCCTTAGTGCACTCTGCATAGCCTTTAGATGTCATGAATACATCCAAACATAATGTATACTCCCTTACTTTCAATTTATGTGACATACTTACCTTATTAGTCTGTTTCAAAAATAATGATGTATTTCTATTTTGAAAACAATTAACTTTAAACTTTTCCTTTTACCCATTTTACACTTAATGAGAAGCCTTTATACCCACACAAATTGAAAGCCCCACAAAAGCTATTACCCTTTAAGCCTTTAATAATACAAGTTTCAAAAGTCATCCTTTTCTTCTTAAACTCCATGTTAAGTCAAACTACGTCACATAAATTGAGACGGAGGGAGTACTTGTTTGCCCCCTTTTGAAAAGATGGGCTATCGGGAACCGCTATGGTAAGAGCTTCACTAAGAAGTTCATTACCAAACGCTGTTTTGGCATTAGTCAAATATTCATGGTCCACTAACCAATATAGAAGCAAGTACAAATTTTGTTCTATCAAACTCAAGCCTTCAGACCACAAATTCATTAGCTAAGCCGGGTTCGTCACTGCATCATGTTCTTTAGACAGTTCCTTGTCCCCTGAGGACTAGAACCCTTTATCAAGATATTTAATTAATAAATACAAAGACATGAACCACATTTGACCTATGCAGTAATGATAAATCAATATAAAGGCAACAACAATAACAACATACCCAGTAAAATCCCACTAGTGGGGTCTGGGGAGGGTAGAGTGTACACAGACCTACCCTACCCCGGAAGGGTAGAGAGGCTGTTTCCGGGAGACCCTCGACTCAACAGGAGAGACAATAATATCAGAAAAGAAACGAAAGAAGAGATCTGTAACAACAAAAGAAGACAGAGAAGCAATAATATCATCTTAAGAGACAATAAATCAATATAAAGGATGGATCTTTTTTAAAAGATACAAAGTGCATACCTTCTGAAAATCAATTCCTTGGTAGACAATATGACAATTTGATAGCTCCCTTATCTTTTCATCAATTGCCTAACAATAAATAAATAAAAAATAATGCAAGTCAATAGTCTCTCATTTTTGGCGAAAGATGCCTTACTCTGCAGTATTGAAACGTAAAAGGCCTAGATAAGCCTCCATGCACCTAGTCAATTAATTGGTTACAATAACCAGAGCCCAAAAAAATTCTACATTATAGCCAGGTGTTTTTTTTAAAGTTATACATTGTTTTGCCAAGAGTTGGGGGAGAAGTTGGTGGCTATAGGGACCTGGAGGAGTAGTGGGAACGCAAGTAATATGTGGTCCACGAAAACGAATTGCATTAGGGAAGCTGCTAGAGAGGTGTTAGGGGTCACGAATGGATACGCGGGAGGCACAAAGGGAACTGGTGGTGGAATAAAGAAGTCCAGGAAAAAGTGGAAGCCAAGAAAACAGCATATCTGAAGCTAGTGGAGAGCACAGTCGAGGAGGAGAAGAGGACGAATAAGGAGTGCTATAATAAGGCTAAGAAAGAGGCAAAATTAGCGATCACGACGGCTAAGAATGCAGCATTTGGGCACCTGTATGAGGAGCTGGGGAGTAATGGCAGTGACAAGCGATTGTACAGGTTAGCTAAGGTTAGAGAGAGAAAGACTGGGGACCTGGATCAAGTAAGGTGCATTAAAGACTAGGATGGTAAGGTATTGGTGGATGAGGCGTCTATTAGGCTTAGGTGGCAGACATATTTTCATAAACTATTGAACGGGGATGGGGACAGGAACATCGAACTTGGTGAGTTGGAGAACTCAGAGAGCAAACGGGATTATGGTTTTTGTAGGCGCTTTAAGGTGGAGGAGGTTGAGGGAGTGATGCGAAAGATGAGTAGGGGTAAAGCGACTGGGCCGCACGAGATTCCGGTAGAATTTTGGAAGGACGCGGGCCGGACAAGTTTGGAGTGGCTTACAGAATTGTTTAATGTCATTTTTAGGACGCAGAAAATGCCCGATGAATGGAGGTGGAGCTTGATGGTCCTGGTGTATAAGAATAAAGGGGATGTCTAGAATTGCAACTACTATAGGGGTATCAAGCTGTTGAATCACACTATGAAAGTTTGGGAGCGGGTGGTGGAGAGGAGGGTGAAGAGAAGTGTGCCTATTTCTGAGAACCAATTCGGATTCATGTCGGGACGGTCGACCACAGAAGCCATTCATCTTGTGAGGAGACTGGTGGAGCAGTATAGGGAGAGGAAGAAAGACTTGCATATAGTGTTCATTGACATAGAGAAAGCTTACGACAAAGTCCCGAGGGAGGTCCTATGGAAATGTTTGGAGGTTAGTGGCATCCTAGTAGCGTACACTAGGGTGATCAGAGATATGTACGATGGTGCTAAAACTCGTGAGGGCTGTGGGAGGAGACTCGGAACACTTCCCGGTGTCGATAGGCCTTCCTTTGTGATATTTGTTGCGTCAACACATCCATTGCGAGTGTCAGCAAACATCATGAAGCAAAGATATCAGTCTACCTGCCTTTGACGACGTATCATGGTAGATAGATCAGTATATGGAAGCTTTGGATCTATTTTGCATTCCATAAGAATTCCACCGTCATAATCTTTAATATACCTGGACAAGAAATTAGCATATATAGCAGAAAACCACAGTAATTCAAAACATCAAATAGAACTTTGAGCTTTTCTCTTCTTTTTTTTATTTATTTTCTTTTTTGTTTATTTAAAAATTTTGTTTGGGGCGGGTTGAGGAGTTGGGGTGGAAGAAAAGTCGATAGAAGCATATTGAATTAAGCCACGAAAATATCTTCAGGAAAGGTATTTGTTCCATGAAAGCTTACTGTTAACTTACCCTTGCCAACGCTCTTTCTCTAAATAAATCTCTTTCGTGAATCCCTGCAAGCCATTTTAAGACGTTAAATCTTTCGAAAGACAACTAAAGAACAATAGAGCTTCCAAACAATCAAGAAAGAAGCTAACAAGTAATGCCCCAGATGTTGTCCAAGATTAGGTAACCGATTAAAAGATCCTTCAAGAGTTAAAACTGCAGATTTCCCCATATTTATGAAAAGACTTCGAATTTATCAGAAAAGAAGCATAATATGAGATTCAATTAACTGAATTTATTACCAACAAAAGAACCCAAGCGCAAATAGGACTATGCTTGCAGAAAAGGTGGTATGCATCAGGTGTAAGTACATTTAATTTTGGCTAAGCGGAGATGCTCTGATAAACAAAACCTTGAAGCATTTTTTACCATATTGTGGCTAACCTCATTGTCACCTTCTGTACAACATTTATACTGGTTGACTAATTTTTCTACCACGTTGCTGATTAAAGGTGTGGCCAATAAGTCCTCCATCATATATCTATCAAACAGCTCCTTTCCAAAAGTCAACTACATAAAACTTTAATCACAATTTTCTTGAGCGTAATGCAACAACTTGAAGATCATTTTTTATGAGCCCGTTCTAATTGTCATCTGCTTCTTTTATCCTAAATTTTGATTTCTGAATAGTGATAATTGTCACCTCTTGTATAACCAGTGGCGAAGCCACATGGTCACAAGGGTGGTCAACTGACCACTCTTCGTCGAAAAATTGCACTGTGTACATAGGTAAAATATTACGTTTTAGAGGTATATAACACAAATTGAACACCCTTTGTCGGGAAAAATTTTCACTTCTTTTAAATTTGAACACCACTGAAAAAATTCCTAGCTTCGCCACTGTGTATGACGGAAATATAACATAAATGGTGAAAGGGAAACTCTAAGTTAGGTAATGTTGTGTAGATTTTTGAGAAGACGACAAGGCTTCTTTATGCATGAACTGACTCACCAGGCTAAATGAATAGGCTATGTATGGTCTAGAGTGGGAGAGATAAATGAGTATTCCAACCAACCTCTGATATCTCTCATTATCAACTGACTCTCCAACTCCACTTTGTAACTTGTGATTGCTTTCAACGGGCGATTTTGCGGGTGTACAACTTGTCATACCAGTTTTTTCCAAGAGATCCAAAATATACCTCCTCTGAGATATAAAGATTCCTCTTTTTGATCTATCAACCTCAGTTCCCAAGAAGTACTGCAATTTTCCTAGATCTTTGATCTCAAATTCATGTGCCAACAACTTCTTCAATTGGGCCATCTCCTGTCATTACTATGTCATCAACATAAACTATGAGAAGAGTGAGTTTACCCGTATAATGTCTTATGAAGAGGGTGTGATCAGCATTGCTTTGTTGGTAACCAAAGGAGATCATTACTTTTGCAAATCTGTCAAACCAGCTCTGGGATTACTTCAGTCCGTACAAGGCTTTCTTCAATTTGCACAGCTTTCCTTGACTTTGTGCTGTATCAAATCCATGAGGAATCTCCATACACACCTCTTCTTCTAAGTCTCCACGAAGAAATGCATTCTTCACATCAAACTGTTGCAAGTCCCAATCAAGATAGGTTGCACAAGACAAAAGAATTCTAATAGTGTCCATATTAGCAACAGGGGCAAATGTCTCTTGATAATCCACTTCATAAGTCTAAGTGAATCCCTTAGCCATCAATCTTGCTTTGAATCTTTCAATCGAGCCATCAGCTTGTGCTTCACAGTGAAGACTCATTCGCAGCCAACCAACTTATTGTCTAGTGGTGAAGTGACAAGTTCCCAAGTAAGGGTGGGCATAAAATTTGAAAAACCGAATTCCGAACCGGGCCTAATTAATTTGGTATTTTGGTATCGATTTATTCGGTTTTTGATATTCTTCGGTATATTTTTTCGGTATTTCGGTACGATACTCGGTATTGAGTTTACGATATTTCGGTAATACCGAAATATTTAAGTGCTACACTAACCAGCCATGGCAGCCCACTTCTAATTCTATTTTCCATCCCAATAAAACAAAGCCCAACATTTACTCCCCAACTACCCAAAGCCCCAAGCCCCAACCTAGTATCACTTCCCTTTCCCTAATTCCCTTAGTCCTTGGACAGAATTGAATGTTTCTTCTGTTGTTGACATGATTTACTTTTTTTAAAAGAGAATGTTGCATTTGAGAAAAAAGAAATATCATGTTTTTGTGTTTTGAAATCGACATTCGCTATGCATCATGTAACTAAAAAGTAGTTGTAAATTACAACCTTAATTCTTTTTGTTTGTATGTTTGCATATATTCTTATTCTCTTGTTGCTGGCTTTGGCATCTTAGTTAGTGTTTTTCTTTTCTTTTCCCAGTCCGATAAAAATAATTTGAGTACGACAAAGGTCATTGTTGCTTCATAGGTGTGCCAAGCATAAGGTCCTCCTACACTAGACTTGGTATGATACCGAAACCCAGGGGGGCGTATTTATGTGGAGGGTGGTGGGGTACATGCACCCATGCTCCCCTCTCTAACTATGTATAAACAGTACTAATTTTTCAGATTATGTACTTAAATATATTTGTGGCCACCCATGCTTAAGTGACTGCTATGGTGCATTGGTGATTAAGTGCCCCTTTTGTCCCTCAAGTCAAGTGTTCGATTCCCATATAGTTCTTTTTAATTAATTCTTTTTTATGTTCAATCCCCGTATAGTTCTTTTAAATTAATTTTTTTTATAACTAATAAATAAAGGCAAAACACATAAGTTACCCCCTAAACTATGGGTCAAATCCCTGTTACACACTTTATGACTACTAAAATTGTTTTACACACCCAATCTTTTCAGAGTGTGTCTAGTACACACCTGCTTAGCCACGTGGTACACGCGTGTTTTACACTGAGAACAGGCAAGTAAATAATTAAAAAAGTTTGTTTCTAAAGCCTTTTTGGAGCCCACGTGCATAGCCTTTTCATTTTCTCCTTTTTTTTAAATCATCTTTTGTACCTTGTTGCCGGCGAAGGGACATAGTATCCTACTAAGTCCATCTTCTGTACCGTGCATAGCTTTCGCCTTTGTTTCCATGGCTTTCTTGCTTTATCAAACAGTTTCCAACTTATGATTCTTCATCTTCTTCTTTTACCCACAATATTTAATCAGCTGCTTCTTCCTAATTCTCTTCATCCGTATAATATTTTTAGGTTTTAGCTTCATCCATGGCAAAACCACCATTTAAAGTGTTAGTTTTTAGATGGTAGTTTTGGTGTTTTTAGTCATGGATTTTCATTTTGCAGCCAAATAGTTATACCTAAATCCACCCTCTATCACCGGACCCAAAAAATGGTCAACATCGGTGACTATTGTCAAGAAAAATATTAATTGGGTGGTTTGCTGGTCGGAGAAGATGTCTGCGACTCGGTCAGCCATAAAATCTTTTCTGGTCTGGAGCTTTAGGTCTTGCTTTTTTGTGTTAGATCTGAATTTAAAGTAGAAAACTTGGGACTAAATCTATTCAGACTCCTAATTTTTGGTTTGAAATCGGAAGGTGGTAGTTCTAGTATAGTCGGCGGCAATGGGGATGCGAAGGAGGACAAAAAGAGATGGAAGAGGGAAGGGTTATAATTTTAAGTATTTTGTTTTTTTTAATGAAAAATAATAATGACATGTGTCACGATTCTATTGGTGCGTGACATCACACATGTTTTCACAAATGGTCAAGAAAAAAGTGGTGTGTCTTTGATACACTCTCGAAAGGTTGAGTGTGTAATATGATTTTCGTGGTCAGAAAGTGTGTAACAGGGATTTGGTCCATAGTTCAGGCGGTAACTTATGTATTTTGCCAATAAATAAATAAATCCCTAATTCCCCATGCCCTTTTTATTATCATAATGGTGCACCCATCTTCTTAAAATACTAGATACGCCTCTGTTGAAACCATACCGAACCAAATATGAAAATACCGAACCATACCGAACTACTTTGGTACGGTATTTGGTAGCATAATTGATATACCGAATACCGAAGTATCAAACTGTAGTTATTAAATATCGTACCGAACGCCCACCCCTATTCCCAAGTCTCATTTTTTGACAAGGCCTTCATTTCTTCAATCATAGCTTGCTTCCATTTAGGATCTACAAAAGCTTCCCTCCAATTGTGGGGAATAGACACAAAAGAAATAGATAAGGCAAACGCTCTATAGGAGGGAAGCAGAGAATTATAGGAGACAAAATTAGATAAAGGGTATTCGGTGGTGCAGGATCTGACTCCTTTTCTATGAGTAATAGGTTCATCTAACTCATTAGGAAATGTATAACTCACCAGTAGAAGAAGGTTCAGCTTCGGTAGATTGCATGATGGCTTCTTCTGCTATTTTTTTTTTTTGATTTGCATGCTTCTTCTGCTATTTTTTTCTTTGAGTAAGTTTTCAAATCGGGCCTATCCAAATGCCCAATAGTCTCCCCCGAATTCTTTCTCCAATTTCGCTTTCCCCGGTGACAATGTCATCAAGAGGTCCCGTAATGGAACTAGGTAGAACCACCTCCCCCTGAATTCTTTCTCCAATTTCGCTTTCACCTGTGACAATGTCATCAAGAGGTCCGGTAATGGAACTAGGTATAGTCACCTCTTCCTCCTTACTGCTTTCCCCTGAAGAGGTGATGAGGTAATACAGAAATAGGGAAAAGATTCTCGAAAAGTAACATTTATGCTAACAAAAGATCTCCTAGAGGGAGGATAATATCATTTGTAACCTTTTTGTGCCGGAGAATAGCTAATGAAAACATACTTTATAGCTCTAGGATCAAGTTTTCCACAATTTCTAGTGTGGACAAAGCAAATACAGCTAAAAACCTTTGGAGGAACAGTATATTCATTCCTACCCTTTAAAGCTTCCAAAGGACTATGAAAATTGAGGGTTTTAAGTGGCATTCTGTTGATAAGATAGGCAGTCACCAGAATAGCATCCCCCAATAAGGTTTTGGTAGATGCATGGTGAACATAAGAGATCGTGCTACTTCTAACAAATGCCTATTTTTTCTTTCAGCGACCCCATTTTGTGTGCACTAGTGTAAGGACAACTAGCCTGATAGACTATCCCATTGGACTCCAAATAAACATCAAATCTTTTATCTATGTATTCGCGGCAATTGTCAGTTCTCAAGATTTTTGTTATGGCATCAAATTGAGTACAAATCATTTTATGAAATGACTGAAAACAAGAGAAAACTTCACTTTTGGCTTTTAACAAATATACCCAAGTCATCTTAGTGCAGCAATCAATGAAAGTAATAAACCATCGACTACCACACAAAGAAACAGTTTGTGTAGGACCCCATACATCAGAATGAATAGTCATAAATGGAGTTGTGTTTTTATTATCACAAGATAAGAGTTTTTAGTATGCTTGGCATATTCACACGCATCACATAACAAAGATTCAAATTGAGTCCTTGAAAACAAATCGGGATATAACCTCTTCAAAACAAAGAATGATGGGTGTCCTAACTGTCTATGATGTTGTATTATTTCTTGGTTGACATCCTTACTTTCCCCAAAAAAGGCTTGACGAGTTTTGAATTCCATCTAATATATACAAGTCATCATGCAATCTACCACTACCAATCATTTCCCCTGTTTGAAGATCCTGAAAAATATAATGGGAAAGAACTCGATTTTACAGTTTAGAGCTTTAGTGAAGGCACTAACAGATAAAAGATCGACAAGGAAATCAGGGACATGGCGCACGGATGATACTTTAATATTAGGAGTACAAATGACAGAACCTGTTCCAGAGATAAGTGTTAAAGAACCATTGGTTAATTTAACATTATCTCATTTGAGAGACGGAGAATAGTTTTGAATGCCTTTAGAAGAGTATGTCATGTGTCTATTTGCACGGGAATCAACAATCCAAGAATTAAGGTGAGTAGAAAAGGCAGTACCTGATTGCACATAATTGGATGTGGCAACATTAGCAGAGTCAAGTTTGGTTAGGAGGCGACGAAGAAGCTGAATTTCATCCGAAGACAAGATTTCTCAAGAAACCGTCTCCTTGAATGTCTCCGTATTTTCTGCCCAACCAGAAGGAAATATGAAGAAAATTGCTCAAAAATAATCTGCCTCGCCGGAAACCAAATCTGTCTCGACGGAACCAGAAGAGGTTTGTGTTGAGGACAGCCGCCAAGAGAGAGAAAACTCGACCTATTTGATAAAAACAGAACCCTAGTGCTGCGAGGGAGATAACTCGCCTCAAAAAGGCAGCAATGGCTCTAATACCATGTAGATTTTTTAGAAGAAGAAAAGGCTTCTTGTATTTTTGTGTATTTATTACATCCCTAAGCAAAGGTATTTATACACCAAGTCCTATGACTATTTTAGGAAGGAAAATCAATTACAATCAATCAGAATAAAACCACATTTCAATCAGAATCAAATCATTCGTAATAATGAAGTCAATCAACAAATACTACTCCCTCCGTTCCAGTTTATGTGAACCTATTTCCTTTTTGGTCCGTTCCAAAAAGAATGAACCCTTTCTAAATTTGGAAACAATTTAGCTTAAACTTACAATTCTACCCTTACTGAGAAGCTTTTATAACCACACAAATACTCTGGGCCCCTTTTTGACTTGTTTAGGATCATAAATTCCAAAAGTCTTCATTTTTTCTTAAACTTCGTGCCCAGTCAAACAGGTTCACATAAATTGGAACGGAGGGAGTACTATTTTTAACAGGCTCCCGAATATTTATAAGACCCATAAGCAGAGTACATTCATTTAAACATGAATTTGCTGAATTGACTGGTCAAGTCTGTTGCAAATAATAATACCACCGAAAAATAAGAGATAATAATACCACCTAAAAATAAGAGCCAATCTAGCACCTGTTTGACAAAGTAACCAACGGCATTGTTGTCTGCATATGTTAGAAAATGAGTCAGCCCATCCACATCCCGAGCATGTTGCTTTAAGTGATTCATCAGTCTGGTGCCATAACCCTTAACTTGTTCATCTGCTGTAATTGCACAAAAAGCTATCTCCCCAAACTTCTGGCTACAACATCAATGAAAAGAATTGCGTCAACAATTTATAGATAAACAAGATATGACAATTGAACATATTACACACTTCCTCCACTTCTTTTTCTCGGAAAAGGAGTAAATCAACATATTAAAAAAAAACCAACAACATACACAGTGTAATCCCACAAATGGGGTCTGGGGAGGGTAGTGTATACGCAGACCTTACTCCTACCTTGAGAAGAAGATAGGATTTTTTTCGATAGACCCTCGACTCAAGGAAAGCAAAATCACGGCAGTTTAAAAAGAAATACGGTAGCAAAGAACACATGGAAAAAGAAGCGGTCACAACAGCAAGATAATAAGAAAACCAAAGCAGAAGTAACATCAGGTAGTAATAGAAATCTAAGAATAAGGAAATTCGAGTATAAAACTAGTGCTACTGATAAGGAAAGGAAATACGCTCGACTACAAACTAACCTTCTACTCTAAGTAGGCGTTTTGACATAAATTTCAAGTTTATTTTTTTTGGAATTTGGAATATCACACTAGTTTGATTTGAAGATGACATTGTGTTTAGTTATAACTTTTGATGTGTATTTGGATATATTTTTTCCCAACACCATGAAACATGATTTATATCCCAAGATTTGTAAAAACTATCAAAATCACCCCAACTTGACTATCGTACCTGAACCAAAAATTAAACCCGCTTAATGCTTAACTGCACTCGTTTTTTTGTAGAAAAGATAGTGAAAGTCGACGAAACTGATTTTTCTGAAGATGAAGAAAACTTGATACTCACAATGTGGAATTTGGTCGTCGAAGGTTTCTTCTTCTCATTACCTTGATCTTCTTACCGTTTTAACTTAGTTATAGTTTCTCTCAATTGCAGGCAATAACAAGGGGAAGTGGGTTTTGATGGTAGCTAGGTATTTAATTCTAGTAGTCAGATGGGCTTACTCAGTAAATACCAAAAAATTGGGGTAAATTTTTAAAATCTAAAAGTTCCCAAGTTACAGATTTTCAATGTAAAACTTGTTGAAAGGACTTTTTCAAATTTGAAAATCCATCCCCAAGTTTGATTTGAAAAATTGTAACATTTTCATAACCAAACATTGTTTTGAAAAAAAATGGAAAAAAGGATAAAATATTTATGTCCAAATGGGCCCTAATTTATCGACCTCCGCATTCTCCTTTCAAGGGTCATATCCTCGGTAAGCTGAAGATAAGCCACATCCTACCTAATCAACTCTCCCAATACTTCTTTGGCCTACCTCTACCTTTTCTTAGACCCATCATGGTCAACCTCTCACACCACCTCACTAGGGCATCCGTGCATCTCCTCTTCACGTGTTCGAACCATCTCAGCCTTGCTTCCTGCATTTTATCCACCACGGAGGCCACTACCACCTTATCCTTAATATCTTCATTCCTGATCTTATCTTTCCTAGTATGCCGACACATCTATCTCAGCATCCTCATTTCCGCTGCTTTCATCTTTTGGACATGAGAGTTCTTGACTGGCCAATACTTTGTCGCATACAACATAGTCAGTCTAACCATCACTCTGTGGAACTTACCTTTAAGTCTAGGGGGAACATTCTTATTGCACAAGACACCAGATGCGAGCCTCTATTTCATCCACCGGGCTCCAGTAAGATGTATGGCATCATCTGATCATCATTAATCTCCCCAGTACCTTGGATAATAGACCCAATATACTTGAAATATCCTCTCTTGGGGATGACTTGAGTATCAAGTCTCACTTCCACATCCCGCCTCATGGGTTACGTCACTGAACTTGCACTGTAAGTATTCTGTTTTAGTCCTGCTCAACCTAAAATCACCACTTTGTGGAACTTACCTTTAAGTCTAGGGGAACATTCTTATTGCACAAGACACCAGATGCGAGCCTCTATTTCATCCATCGGGCTCCAATAAGATGTATCGCATCATCTGATCATCATTAATCTCCCCAGTACCTTGGATTATAGACCCAATATACTTGAAATATCCTCTCTTGGGGATGACTTGTATATCAAGTCTCACTTCCACATCCGCCTCATGGGTTACGTCACTGAACTTGCACTGTAAGTATTCTGTTTTAGTCCTGCTCAACCTAAAACTTTTAGTCTCTAACGTTTGTCTCCGAACCTCCAGCCTAGCATTAACTCCGTTTTTTGTCTCATCAATCAGCATTATGTCATCTGCAAATAACACGCACCACGGCACCTCCCCTTGAATGTGACGCGTCAATTCATCCAACGTCAAGGCAAATAAAAACGGGCTAAGAGCTGGTGCAACCCCATCATACATATTTTTAATCGCCCTAGTGTATGCAGCAGGTACACCTCTAGCCTCCAAACATCTCCATAGGACCTCCCTAGGGACTTTGTCGTATGCATTTTCTAGGTCAATGAACACCATATGCAAGTCCCTCTTCCTCCTCCTATAGTGCTCAACTAATCCCCTTACAAGATGGACGGCCACCTCTATCCTTCGGGCATATTCGAAGTCCTAAAAATGACATTAAACAACTCAGTTAACCACTTCAAACCTGCCATGTCCACGCTCTTCCAAAACTTCACTAGGATCTCATCTGGCTCGGTCGCTCTTCCCCAGCTCATATTGCACATAGCCCCCACAGCCTTCTCAACCTTTATACGCCTACAATACCCAAAATCATGACGGCTCCTGTAGTGCTCCAAATCACCCAGCATATTGTGTAATTAAAATCTACTTGTCACCTTCGTCCAAAATAATTTACTCACTTTTGTTTAACCAATTTCTTTTAATGGGATCCCTTTTCCTTTGAATATTTTCTTCTTTTGAATATTAAACTATTTAAGTAGTAATATGGAACACATTTCTATTGCTATAATGCTTTAAGCTTATCAAATTTCACCTTTAAATTTAGAATTTTAGACTGTGTTATCTTGTTCAACTCCACCCTCAACTCCCATGCCCAATCAAATTAAGATAACATACTGGTACACAAGGATTAAGATGTAACGGTTGGGCGATTAACTAATTAAAAATTCATATGAAGCATTGAATCAAATAATTAGATATAATGGACATAAACCAACTTTATGCAACTGTCTAGTAAGTATTGCTAAGTCCTTACATATCAAAGGAAAAAGTAGTGATCAGACGTATACAAAGTACTTATGATTGAGAATATTATGTATATTAGTTAGAATCAACTATGAAGATATTGTTTATTTGAAATTATCTAGTTCTTTCCTACATTAGAACAAATGTATTTGATATTTAAACATCCAATAGCTTGGGATAATGATTATGAAATACATTCTTCATTTCCTTCTTCCATATTATAATTTTTAGAGCAATTTTGACTTTCAAGACATCAGTCATTGTACATTTAGTAGGAAGAACTAAGAAGAGATTCAGTCACTGCACATTTACCGGTGACCTCTGGAAAAAGAGAAGCCATCGCCACGACGACTATCGAAGGCTGCTCTATATTTCGAAGGTGTCGCACATAAACCAACACCACTAACATACTCGAAATCCGCCGACAAGAAGAACCTAGAAAGAAAGCAACAACCTCATCCGAGCTGAGACGTGTAGGGATATTATCTGACTTTTTCGGCGAGACCTATCCACATGCCGGCCTGTGAAATGTCTCCTCGGAACTTTCCGACAAGATCCTTTCTTCTGCTGGAACTTCCTACTCATTTCAAGTCTACTAATCAGTTTTCTACTATATCCAAGGCACTAATCTACGGTTCGGCCAGTTCAATCTATTTTTCTGGCCCTCTCTTATGTTGTCTAAATTCTCCAAAAAAAAATATTGTTGCACCCATGTCAGTTCCTCCAAATATAATAACTTCTCGAGGATCCGACACACATATGGTGGCATTTCCGAAGTATCCGAGCAAACATAGTATCTCTCTTTTCCGACATCCTTTCTGCCAATTTCTACATTATGGGGTCACATAGCCATTCTGAGGCAACCCATCACCTTTTCTACTGTGCCCGATCACCAGAGGTACTTTTTGTGAGTAATAATTTCTTTATTGGCATATCTATCTTTTCTCCGGACAAATTTGTCTTTCTCTTTCACTCTAGGGTTTATCTAAAGTTTGTGGTTCACCACATTCAAGTTTCAAATTTTAAGTTCCAGCAAGTTTTCGGACATCAATAATATATTTTAGAAATGGATTCGGTGATGCAAGATGTTAGATAATTTCCTTGTTAGGTTATAAGGAGTTTCTTACACACAAAAAGGCGAGTAAACAAGCATATTCACTAATCATAATTGATGTTCAAACTGGCAATCCTGTTGCTAACATTTCTCATTCTTCTAATCCTAGACCTTGGGTCATTGACTCAGGAGCCTCAGATCATATTACTGGTAACAAATCTCTTTTCTTTTCTATATCCAATTCTCAATCTCTTCCTACTGCCACATTAGCCAATGGTTCACAAACCATGGCAATTAGAATAGGCCAAATTATCCTATTAACATTAGAATTAGTTCTTTACTTTCCTGGTTATCCTTTTAATCTCACATTCACTAATCCCTTGTCTCAATCACTTAATAGTTCAGCAACCATTCTTAATGCTCAGTTCTTATACAAGATTGCAATATAGGAAAGATCTATCAAGAAATAGACCTTGGGCCTATCTCATCCTCAACAGCTAGCTCATGAGAAGATTTGCCCAACACCATATAAGGAAACCAATTACCCCATCTACAACCATGTGGGACTATTCTAACATTATCACCACCACCATCCCTCTCCCACGCGTTTAGGACTGAACATTTGAAAAGTGTATTATATAACATAAGGACCTAACATTGAGTAAACCAAGAAGTGAGATAGGCCTTGCTGTGATACCATGTCAAGAAACGGACCTTAGGACTAACCCAACCTCAAAAGTTAGCTCAAGGGGTGAGAAATGGTCCAAGGTCCATAACTTATCATGGTATCAGAGCAGCATAGGTCTTAAGTTCGAGCAGGCATAGGTCTTCAATACGAGCCTCACTGCTACCCTATTATCAAAGAGTTTTTACGTCGTTGGCCCATGAAAAAAAATTAAGCTGTATGCGAAGAAGCGTGTTGAAAACATAATTAAATAAATAAAAAGGTGTTCAGAACTGTCATCTCATACGTAAGTACGGTATAGACATTCTTGAAGAGGCATGAACATACTCCGGTGGATCCGACTAAGTTATTGCCAGGTTAGGAGAAGCCCTTTAACGATCTTGGAAAGTATAAGCAGTTAGTTGGTAATTTCAATTATTTCACTGTAAGACCCCGTGAAATTTTACCTAAAACTCGAAATTTCGTGGTGCCGAGTTAGGCTTATGTGTTAAAGATTGTACCACGGTACGTACTTTTTGGGATGCGCAGTGCGTTGGTGAGCTGAAGAAAATTTTCAGAAGTTCAGGGCATTTTGTGCGGCCAATTCTGCGACCGCAGAACTGAGACCGCAAATCTGCTGGGAAGTGAAGCAGAGATCTGAGCTAATTTTTGGACCATATATGCGGTCCATTATGCGGTCGCATAATCGTTTTGCGGACCACATAACCCATCGCAAATCCCCACATAGAAATTCCCGGAGGGATGTTCTGCAGCGCATTATGCGACCGCAGAATAGGTCTGCGGACCGCATACTGGTCGCATACCGAAGCAGAAAATTCCAGTCCTTGAGGGCCATTATGCGGCCCATTTTGCGGACCGCAGAAGCAATATGCGGGGGCTCCTATTTTCTAATTTTTAAACCCGATCTTATGTCGTTAAATCATATGCCACAGTTCATTTTGAGCATATTTCTGATACTTTAGGGTGAGAGAAAGAGCCCTAGAGTGAGAAAGTGATCTTCATCAAATTACTCTTCAGCTCTTGCTAAAAACTTGGAAGATTATCAAGGAAAGCACCCTAGGTCTTCATCCTAAAGGTAAGAATCTATACCCTAGCCCTTAATTTCGAAAATCAACTAGAAGTGGGTAATTAGCAAGAAGGTTCATGGGTATGAGGGTTGTTTATTTTGCATGCATGTGTGGTAAAAGAGTGTACGAAGATTGTGAGCTAAAAACGGTAAAAGATGGGTTGTGGGATGATGGAATCTTTCACAAAAGGGTCTTGAAATCTTAATTCACATTTAGTGTTGATAAAATGCTCAAGTGAGCTAGAACTATGATCGTTTTCCTAAATTTTGGTTCAATTTGTGATATTGCTAAAATAGATTGAAGTTGCTAAGAGTTCCGGAATATTGTAGAGTTTAAGGAAGCTCATTTGAGGTATGTATGGCTAACCCCCCTCTTCTTAGAATTGACCCCCCTTGGTGTTCATGCAATCGGTGTAAGTCCCAAATTGATCGTTATAGAAATTGCTCTTCCGAATGTGTTAGCGTTGAAAGATTATATGTGCAATATGTGTTCCCATGCTTTCATCATGTTATCTTATCATTTGATGATGTGTTAAAAATATGGAAAATGTGCTACAAATGCCTAAACATCAGGTCAAATTCGAATAAAGATTGTTATGCAAAATTGTGTGAAAAGCCTCAATGTGCCTTAGATTCTAAATTGCCCACATGTGTATTCAAAGTCTTGGATGAAAGGCCTTGTTGCTATTGATGTGATAATAATGTGGAATGTGGAAAGGAACTTGAATTATGAAATGCGGCCAAGTGCCAAGTATGATATAACAATTGTGGCCACTAGTGCCGATGAACTGAAAGACTTGAAAGAAGTATGAAATGAGATGATTGATAGAAAATGGTTATGTCTCGGGCGAGACGGCCTAGCCGATCAAGCCGTGATCGGACACCATGCCGCACACATGGTGGTAATTGTGCTGAAAAATTGAAACTAGAATTTGAGAATGAAATTGTGATTATGGTTGATGTCTCAAATGAGACGACATAGCCGATCGGGTCGTGATCGGACTCCGTGTAAGAATGTGGTGGTTTTGTGGATGATGGTGTATCAGTATGAAAGATGTCCCAACCTAAACTATGGAAATTTACTAGGAACTCATGTGACTCTTAATTTGATGTTATGGTGTTGTTTAAGGGTTTTATTGAATTTATGATTATTTCCTTCTTGTATTATTGTTCATTCTAATGAGATGGTGTTTAGTTATACATACTAGTACTATTCAACGGTACTAGCGTCCCTTTTGCCGGGGGCGCTGCGTCTTAAATGGATGCAGGTGGTTCCATAGCAGGCAGTATTGATCAGCGTTAGCAGTACATCCTCCTCCCAGCAGTCTTGGTGAGCCCCATTTCATTTCGGGGTTATGCATCTTTTGTCCCTTATGTATTGTACTTGAGGTATAGCCGGGGCCTTGTTGCGGACACTTTTGTAGTACTCTTTTGTATCTATTTAGAGGCTTCGTAGACACTATGCAGGTTGTATATGGGTGTTGGAAAGGTCAACGGTTTATGTTGTGTTTTAGACTCTTGTTCGACTCAATCATAAGAATGTGCGTATTATGAAACTTAACAATGACGTAACTAATGAAATGACTTAGTAATGTTTACATGATCTTCCTATTGTTTAATTAATGAAAACACGCCTCCTCTTGATCACAAGTGAGTTAGGTAGAAAGTGTCTAATAGGCTTGCTCGACCGGGTTCACTCGGTTAAGCGCCGCTCGCGCTCCCCGAGGTTGGGGCGAGACACTCACAGTACCTTGATCTAAGGCTAACACTACCTTTCGGCGAGTGTTGTAAGTTAGTTTATGGACTCACCTTATGGCAGTCATTTGGATGTTGTTGTCCATATTCTTTGATAAATAAATTCAGCTCCATGAAAAGGATTTTAGGATCAAGGCCATGAGCAGATTGTTGGATATATAAATGCAAATTGGGCAGGATCACCTTCTGACGGACAGTAGATTGGATGTTGTTGTTTCCTATTCTTCGATAGATATAATGAGCTCTAAGAAAAGGATTCGAGGATCAAGGTCCTGAGTAGATTGTTGGATACACAAATGCATATTGGATAGGATCACCTTATGATAGACAGTCTACTTTTGGACATTTCACCCTCCTTGGAGGTAACTTTGTATCTTGGAAAAGTAAGAAACTGCTATTGTTGCTTGGTCTAGTATAGAAGCAGAAATGCGGCAACTCATGAACTGGTTTGGACCAAACAACTGCTCAAATAAATAAAGTTTGGAAATCAGCCAGATGGAAACTTGTGTATGATAATCAAGATGCTCGAATGAAAAGAAGTTCAGGATTTAATTACTATTCACTTTACGTTGTTGAGTGGAAAACTATTATTAGACTCTGCAAAAGCAAAATCTATTTGACATAGAATAACACAATGACTCCAACCTCTTGCTCTACGAGTAGAATAATAAAAAGAACAAGACAATTACCTGGCATATGGACGATATGTTATACCACCAACCACTAGATTACGTCTGATGACCATTACAGACTTATGGCTCCTGCAACAAGTAGAAATGAAAAAGAGACTAAAAGTACTTTTCAAACACTTCAAACTCACAAGTTATTAGGTACCAAGAAAAGCTATATAAGGTCATCATGAGCATTTTCTTTTTCTTTTCTTTTTTCTTTTTGTGATAAATCAAAAACCTTATGAATGAAGGTCATGACCCCGTTGTAGAAATGGTATACAAACAGAACAGAGCCTATATAAAAATATTAATCTCTACAAAGAGCATCAATCATCTACACTGACCAGGATCCCATTGGTACTCTAAAATTTTAGAAAAAGAAAAGGAAGGGAAAAAAGTACCACTCTGATATGAATAGAAAAGTTCTCCATATACTTAACTTACTCCCAATTCTGGCAGAATCCTTGAATTCTTAATTTGAGAAGCTTATTTGTCGAAACTCCCTAATTCCTTTCTCTCCACATTGTTCATATAATTGTCAAAGGATAGACTCCAAATCCCCTCCTCTTCCTTCCAATTGGCCAACTTTAAATTAAAAAAAGATCATTGCCCAGTATCTAGCACTACCCATTTAATAGCAAATAGGTTCCAAACTCTACCCCAATGTGATTGTTTTAAAAAAGGTAAATAATATCAAAAACCATGAATAGTGCATCAAACCATTGTTGGATTACTTCTCAAACAGTAAAAGTGGAAGCATGATATCTCCTAGAGTTTAGGTGGGCGGCCAGTACAATCTAATTTGAACTTATTCATAACTACATGTTAAAGGTTATAGATGGTAGCAAAATCGGATATTAAATTATCGCCATTGCAGAATGGCTAATCTTCTCTATAGAAACTTAACTAATACTGAAATACTTTGTCACATAATAAATTCTCACTTAATATATTGTTGCAACTGGCAAGAAACTTTTCTTTTTCAAAATAAAAGTGAACTATATAACTACAGCAAAAAAAAAGTGAATTATAACTAACTTATACACTTTCAACTTGGAACTATGAAGAACGTGAACCACTCCCTCTTTGTCCAACTCTCTACTACATCCCACACCTCCTCTTCCCTAATAGCCCGAATCAACCACTCCCCCTTTCTTCTCCTCTTTGACTGAACACTACCTCTCATAGCTCAGGTCTCCAACTCACCTCCTCATTATACAAATGGTCGTAAATACCAACCGCTCCTTTTACCTCCTCCTCGACCTTAAGGAACCGCCAGATTCACTTCCATACACTCTATGAAGCTCTTGCTCTTTTTCACTACAGCTACCTAAAAGAATTTAGTATTTGAGTCCCCTCTAACAACAATGCCATCAATTTTTCTTCAACTAGCCTTTGGAGCTATTGCTTACATCTCTAACTCTCTCTTCAACTCCTCCCTCTTTTTTTTCCCCTTTCCTTTAACTCCCTCACTCCTCCCGCTCTCTCCAACCCCCCACCCACCCACCCAACAATAGCAGTAGGCAGATATAAATAAATTCATTATGATGAAAAGAAAATTTACAATGAGTATTCACATAAATCTTTGTATATAAAACAATCTTAGCCACGTCAAGAAAAATCAAAAATCTAAATACTAAAAGAAGATTTCAAAATTCGCACCTGTCCATTACAAGACGAACAATATATTCCTTAGGCATGTTTGGGAGTTGCCTTGCAAATATATTCTTCAATCCTATTAACCTGGAAAGAACATTTAGCAATTATTGGTAGCCTAGATATTTCGTCTGCATAAGATTATATCTAACAGCATAAGATAAATATTAATACCAAATCATGTGCTCATCAATACCATCGTTTGAAACACATGCAAACTTGAGTCTTCCAGACTCCTCCTGCAAATTTTAAAGTTTACGTCGATATTAAATAAAAGGAAAAAAGTCTACAAATAAAGCTGAGAATTTGCTGAGAACCCACACCCAAAATTAAAAGTTGTAGAAGCCAAAACTACATCCATAACACCCTTTTATATAATAGGACTCAGATATTCAGTTGCAAAGATTTGGAACCTCAATCCTAATAACCTCAAACAACATGAAGTTCCTAAAAGAAAAGACAACAGAGTAAGAATATCTCTCCCAGTCCAACTATTACCACCAGAATAGCACAATTTGCTTTAGTGAGAGGTCTAGTCACTTTATTCCATGCTAGAAATTAACATGTCTTTTTAATCACCTCTCTTTCTCAACATCACTCTCTCCCTGATAGTCAAATATCACCTCCTGTAGTTTGTAATGACTAATTACCTATCTTATTTTATTCAGTTTTTCTTGTCTCAGGAATTGGACATATTGCATTGTCCAGTTTGGTATAACTCACTTGATCTTTTGTTTTCTCGTTACTAAAAGAGTGTTTGAATTCACTTATGTACATTACCTTGTGCGAAAATTATTCTTTTTTCCTTCTTCCATCAATTTCCAGTTTCTATTTCTTTTCTTTTTTCCGCCTCAACAATTTTCTCCAGTTCTATAACAAGCCAAGAATACTAGATACTTCCATATCTTAAGGTAGTCCAACCAGAAAATTTAAGAAGAGCTAGTATCTATCTCGACTTGCAACGTAAATTTCCTAGCAGGACCACATAGCCAAGAAGGAAGAGATACATGTAATGGAACGAAAAATTCAGAAATCATAAGATAGCAAATAGTAAAGTTGACCAAAAGTACAAGTGCACAATTTTAGAAACAACCACTGGCAGTAGTAGCCACCTTAACATAAAGTTAGAGCGAGAGAGGAACAAAAATTCATGACCGATTGCAGTATGTTACTTAACCTACCCCTCTCCACTGAACTCAAAGAACAATAAAGGGAAATGCACGCAAATCACTTTCAAAAAGTTCAATGCCCAAGTTGAAATTTTTTTATTTGTTATTCATTACAAACCGCCTTCAACCATTCGCATTATCTCAAACTAAATGCATCAATTGTATACCATCTGCTCAATGTGTCCTACAGAAAAAGGCAGGCATCACTTCACAATCAAAAAACAGGATATAGGAGCAGGAAACATACTCGTATACTTCAATTTTCCACACTTCAATTTTCCACGGAAAATTTCCCGTGGAAGATTATTTTCTAGAAAATATTGTACTTAAGTAACACGTTTAAATGAAGCAATGAGGTCAGGAAGGATTCATATAGCCGACCCCCAACTTGTTGGCGTAGTTGTTGTAATAATATTTTCAGGATATATTTTCATCAAAATAAACACACTGTTCTGGATATATTTTCCCTCATAACTGAAAAATAGTTACCTCTCTCTTTAAGCTCTCTTCCCTTGCAGTGTAGGCACCACTGGTCTGTAAATTGTCAGTGAAAATGTTCTTCATACTCTCATCCTTAACCACCGCCCCTGAAACAGAACCAGCAGCAGCTGTAGGTGGCGTTACACTACCCTCTTTCACTACCTCCGACGACTCAATTTTCACCGAATTATCATTCTTTAGCTTAGTATTCCTCCCTGACCCTGAGGGTGCACTATTCTCCAACCGCGACGCTGTGAAATTGCGCATGGAAGAGCCATCGTAATCTTCCTCGTCATCATCACCCACCTCTTCGGAGTCGTCTTCGGAGTCGGAATCAGCACCACCTCCGCGGGCGCTGATACTCTCTAGGTCATCGTTGGAGGTGAGAGCACCGTCGCGCGTGTCGGAGAAGGAGGACGGGAAAGGCGGCGCGTGGTCGTCAGATGCCATCTTGCGTTTGTGGATCGACGAGGTTGCTGAGGCGGACGCCGAATGCGAGGGCGATGGAGATTGTGAACTCCGCGACCGGCCCGGCGCCGTCAGGTGGGATGAGTGAGCGTCCATTGGTTCCAAAAATTTTGAAAATCAGGGATTTTATTGAAAAGAAAAAGCCACTAACCTCCTTTGTTTTTTTTAACATTAATACGTCTGAACGTGAATACATATCTCAATATCAAGATGTATATTAACATTTGAATATATTAAGATCAGAATAGAAATAATTAAGATTGTTTGATTTTTAACATCTGAATGTATAAAATTTATCTTTATTTGAAAATTAATAAACATAAAATTCTGATGAAATACTAACTAATCTAATATTCTATCAATAAAATATATAGTTTTTACAAATATGATAGTTGTTGGTGGTGATGGCAAACGGGTGAATGCCGACTAGAGGCGGTGGTTGGTGATAGTTTTGGTTGATGATGGTGGTTCATGCTAGTAGTGATTGGTAGTGGTGGCGATTATGACTGAGGATGGTGGTGGTGGGTGGTGATAGTTAATAATGTCGGGTGCTAGTAGTAGTTGTGATTGAGGAAGGTGGTGGTGGGTTATATTGATGGGTTGTGCCGGCTGTGGTTGTTGATGGTGATGGGGTGGTCAGTTGTGGGTGAGAATGATGGTGGTCGGAGTGGCGGGGATAGTAGGTGGTGATGGTCGATAATGGAGGCTATGATTAAGGATGATGGTGGCGGAGGTGGTGGCGGAGGTGGTGGTGGCGGTGGTGGTGGTGGTTGAGTATGGTGGTGGTGGCGGCATGGTGGTAGTTGATAATGGTAGGCGGTGACGGCAGTTAATAATGAATATATGATAGCATCTTAATGAAATTAAGTCTCTATTATAGGTCTTAATCATACAGACCTATTCAGACCCATTAAGTGGTTGTGAAGTAAAAAAAAATAAACACACTTAATGATTAAGACCTAAATAATTAAGATCCAGACTTTAAAAACAAACGCACTTAATGTCTAAGATATGAATTATTAAGATTCAGACCTCCATTAAGAACCCTTTTACTTTACTAGTCTTACTTTACTTTACTGTAGTTAAAATTATTGTTACTTGTACCCTATATGAATTTAATATATTTAAATAAAAAATTAAAAAGCGTAAGTTTCTAAAAACTAAATCTATTTATATATCTTACTAAAGGAAGACATCATGTCCCATAGAAATTTTCGTATGCTTATGGGAACTTTTGAGGACTTCTACATGAATATCTTATGAAATTGTTGTTATCTCTGGGACATTATACGGAAAACAATAAGTAACACAAAAATACTTTCATCACGATTCTTCATGATTTGTCAAATAATATAAATTAAAACATTAAACATTTTGGTCTTCCTTATCCTTGCTAACTAGAAATGAACCTTCACGAGTTGAGTAAAAGCACCTAGCCTATCTTACTCGTCTCTGGTCAATCCATGCTGATGCTAGAAGAGCTATTCCCGCCGCCCACCCGAATGAGACGAGGAAGGTCCTTGAGATTTGTGAATGAAGTGGTTCACCCCATAGCTAGAAAAAATTGACAATTGACAATGTAGATTCTAAGAATAGCTAATTTTGAGTTAATATTTTATAATAATGACCTAGTATATTAAAAAATATCGGGAGTTGTCATTTCTTGGAATAAATGCAACAACAAAAACATACCCAGTATAATAGTGGGGTCTAGTGAGGGTAGTGTGTACGCAGACCTTACCCCTACCTTGTGGAGGTAGTGAGGCTATTTCCAATAGACCCTCAGCTCAGGCAAGCATAGGTACCACAATAATAACAAGAAAACAAGACGGGACAACACCGAAAAACCATGTAAAAGCAGCATACATAACAAGATAGTATTCAAACCATGTAAAACCAACCAAATGCGAGAGTACAAACTAACACTATCGGTATAAATAATCTAGACTACCTAACCTACTATCCTAATCTTCGACCTCCACACCTTCCTATCACGGGTCATGTCCTCGGTCAGCTGTAGCTGCGCCATGTCATGCCCCATCACCTCACCCCAACTCTTCATCGGCCTACCTCTACCTCTCCTAAGGCCCTCCAATATCAACCTCTCACACCTCCTACCGGGGCGTCTGCGCTTCTTCTCCTCACACGTCCAAACCATCTAAGCCGTGCTTCCCGCATCTTTTCCTCAATAAGGGCCACACCCACCTTGTCCCTAATAACTTCATTCCTAAACCTATCTAATCTGGTGTGCCCGCACATCCATCTCAACATCCTCATCTCTGCTACCTTCATCTTCTGGACATGGGAGCTCTTGACTGGCCAACACTCAGCCCCATACAACATAGTTGGTCTAACCACTGCTCTATAAAACATACCTTTAAGTTTTGGTGGTACCTTCTTGTCGCACAAAATACCGGAAGCAAGTCTCCATTTTATTTATCCCGCCCCAATACGATGTGTGACATCTTCATCAATCTCCCCATCCCCCTATATAATAGACCCAAGGTACTTAAAACTTTCTCTCCTAGGGATGACTTGTGAATCCAGCCTCACCTCCCCTTCCACTCCCTGAGTAACACCACTAAACTTACACTCCAAGTATTCTGTCTTGGTTCTTCGCAGCTTGAAACCTTTAGACTCCAAGGTGTGTCTACACACCTCTAACAACATGTTAACACCGTCTCGCATCTCGTCAATCAAAACAATGTCGTCTGTAAATAACATGCACCACGCCACCTCCCTTGGATGTGGCGAGTCAGTACGTCCATCGCCAGGGCAAATAAAAAAGGGCTGAGTGTCGACCCCTGATACAACCCCATCATGACCGGGAAATGATCCGAGACCCTTCCCACTATCCTCACATAGGTCTTCGCTCTATCATACATGTCTTTAATCACCCTAATGTAGGCCACAAGCACCCCTCTAGCCTCCAAAAATCTCCACAGAACCTCCCTCGGGACTTTATCGTAAACCTTTTCTAAATCCATGAATACCATATGCAAGTCCCTCTTCCTCTCCCTATAATTTTCCATCAATCTCCTAACAAGGTGAATGCCTTCCGTAGTCAAACGCTCTGGCGTAAACCCAAACTGGTTCTAAAAGAAACACCCTTCTCCTCACTCTTAGCTCCACCACCCTCTCCCACACCTTCGTAGTATGACTAAGCAGCTTAATACCTCGATAGTTGTTGCAATTTTTGATATCACCTTTATTCTTATACAAAGGAACCATCGTGCTCCATCTCCACTCTGCGAGCATCTTTTTTGTCCTAAAAATGACATTAAATAACCTAGTAAGCCACTCCAAGCCTGCCCCTGCCCACACTCTTCCAAAACTCCACCAGGATTTCATCTGGCCCGGGCGCTCTGCCCCTGCTCATCTTACGCATTGCCCACACAACCTCCTCAACTCTAATCCGCCTGAAATACCCAAAGTCACAACGACTCTCGGAGGATCCCAAATCACCCAGAGCATTGTCTATGTCCCCCTCCTTGATCAAAAGAGTATGGAAGTAAGTCTGCCATCTCCAACGGATATGCGCCTCGTCCAACAAAACTCTACCTTCTTCGTCTTTAATGCACTTCACCTGGTCCAAGTCACGGGCCTTTCTCTCTCTCACCTTGGCTAGCCTAAACAGCCTCTTATCCCCGCCTTTGCCCTCGAGTTCTTCATATAAACGACTAAATGCTACAGTCTTAGCCGTCGTAACTGCTAGGTTCGCCTCCTTCCTAGCCAACTTATATCGCTCCTTATTCGGCCCTTCTCCTCCTCGTCAATGCTTTCCACTAGCTCAGATACGCCGCTTTCTTGGTGTTCACCTTTCCTTGGACCTCTCCATTTCACCACCAGTCTCCGTTGCGACCACCATTGTAACCCTTCGAGAACCCTAAAAACTCTTGGCAGCTTCCTTAATGCACTACGTTGTCATGGTCCACAATAGGCTCGTATCCCCACTTCTCCTCAAAGCTCCCATAGTCAACAACCTAACCCCCAATTCCTATGCTTTGTCTTCAGTCAAGGTTCCCCACTTGAACCTAGATTGTCCATTCACCACCTTTTTCCTCTTCTTCCTTGTGATCTCAAGGCCCATGACCCAGAGCCTATGAAGGGTCGTGAGGTTCTCACTCGGGATGACCTTGCAATCCGTGCAAAGACCTTTATTGGACCTCCTGTAGAGAAGATAGTCAATCTGGGTCCTGGCCACCAAGCTCCAGAATGTGACCAAGTGTTCCACCTTCTTTGGAAAATTTAAGTTTTCTATCACCAAATCAAACGCTCTAGCAAAATCCAGCAGTGAAGTTACGCCTCCATTTCTATCTCCAAAATCGGAACCACCATGTACATCATCATAGCCTCCAAACGTCGCTCCAATGTGGCCATTGAAATCTCGTCCAATAAAAAGTTTCTCTGTGTGCGGTATAGGCACACCATATCGTCCAAATCATCCCAGAAATGCCTCTTGACTTCCTCATTCCAAGCCTACTTGGGGTGCGTACGCACTGATTATGTTCAAAGTATATCCACCAACAACTAGCTTAATACTCATCAGCTTGTCCCTCACTCTCCTAACCTCTACTACTAAATCCCGGAGGTCCTTATCAACCAAAATACCAACCCCGTTGTTGGCCCCCTTGCTCCCAGAAAACCATAGTTTAAACCCGTCCGGATCCCGCGCCCTATCTCCTACCCATCTAGTCTCCTCTACACAAGCTATATTAATCTTCCTCTTCCAGATAATCTTCACTAACTCTATATACTTACCAGTCAAAGTTCCTATGTCCCAAGACCTAACTCTCAACCCGGTGACTCCCTTAGCCCTCTCACCCCCCTTACCCCCTGCACCCAATCCCCCGCAATGACCTCTCCCCCCTCCCCGAGGACAAGACCTTACCCTATCATTGTTCACCAAATCCACTATAATCTAAGGGACACCCAAAACAAGAGATAAATTTACAAATAAAAGAAACTTCAACTAAAAGGCAGTAAAACAAGCAACGGATTAAACTACACTAACTAAAGCGAATAAATTCTACAACTAGTAGTCACAAAAACCAGCAAGCAAAGATTCAAGACAAAATAATAAGCAGTAATTGAAATTCTTGCTAATGTAATTAGAAAGAGTGAAT